GGCACTGTGCTGGGGCTGGGGGGCTGCAGCGCTCCCTCCTGACTGTCCCCCCTGCCACACTCTCCAGTGTGAGGAGAAGGCTCGACACCTGCAGGAGCTGCTGGAGGTGGCAGAGCAGAAGCTGCAGCAGACCCTGCGGAAGGCAGAGACGCTGCCGGAGGTGGAGGCCGAGCTGGCCCAGAGAATCGCAGCCCTCACCAAGGTGAGTGGCCGGGCCCCCAAGTACACGTCTGCGAGGAGGGCCAGCAGGAGAGCCGAGTTACAAATACTCTGTTTACCAGAAGGACTTCCTGGAACCCGTGGAAAGGGAAAGTGTCCCATGGAAGATGCACAGAGGCCAGCAGATCTGGGGGGCGGGGGTGCTAGGTGCTGACGACCTGACGGTGAGAAAGGCCTGAGGGCGGGCTGGGTGTCTGCGGGGCCTGCGCTGAGCGAGCGTAGCAATTCAGGAAGCCTGTCTCAGGACGAGGCCGTACGTGGCCGTGTTCAGTGAGCAGTTCCGGGCAGAGGAGTGTGATTTGGGTGCTTAAAAGACGTTTTTTAATTGAGGTACAATTGACACGTAGCATGGCTTCAGTTTCGGGCGCACAGAGCGCGATTGGGTGTCTGTGTTGTGAATGATCACAGTCTAAACACCTCACCACACAGAGACTTTTAATAAGAAGCTTAGGGTCTGCTGGCCCCTGGCCTGTCCATCCGCAGTGCAGCCACCACCCTGGGTGCTGCCCCAGGACTGGCCTCGGCTAAAGCTGGACGCCTGGGCCTTTTGACCCCCTGCACCCACAGTGCCCACTCGCCACCCGCCCCTGGCACCCACCACTCTGCTCTGTGTCTGCGCTTGGGGCGTCTAGATTCCATGACAGTGAGGTGGACGACTCGTCTCTCTGACGGTGTCACTGGCCGACGCCCTCGGGTCCCTCCATGTAGCACACGGCAGGGTTTCCTTCCTTACGGCTGAGCAATGTCTCCTGTGTCTGTGCCCCGTCTTTACCCATCACCCATCACGGACCCTTCACGAGGGGCCAGGGGCTGCTGGGTCCAGCGCACACACGGCCAGTGTTGCAGACAGTAGACATGGCCAACGGTCATGTGGCGGCTGCTCCAGGAGGCGCCTCCATCTGCAGCGACTGGGCCGGAAGCCGACGGAGACCTCAGGACTCAGTGCACCGAGCGTGTGCAGAGCAGGCCCTTCTGTGGGAGACGAGGGGCAGGAAGTTAGACTCTCGGTGGCGCATGCGGGGAGAGCGCTCACATCCAGTGCAGGAGGCCCGTCCCTCACTGCCGCCTGCAGGCTGGCACGGTGTCCCCGCACTTCACACGCATGACGCTCTCCTCTGTCCCTGCCTTTCAGATGGCGGCCCTGGGGGAAGCCCGCCTCCGGGAGATGGAGGCCCTGCAGTCCCTCCGCCTGGCCAACGAGGGGAAGCTGCTGGCGCCCGGCCAGGAGGCGGAGATGAAGGTCTGCCTGTGCCAGAAGGCCCCGGCCGCCCCGATGGTCCAGTGCGAGCTCTGCCGGGACGCCTTCCACACGGGCTGCGTGGCCGTG